TTATTTTGTAATAAGACGTCATGATCTGTTAGATGTGGGTTGATTTGGGTTGAATTTAAAAGTTTATTCCGGCTACCTTCTATACACATTCTCTCTTTATTGTGTTTCTATTCTTAATAAGAGAAATCTGTCTTTTCTATGCTTTCCATGCGATATAACATTTTTCATCAAGTTATAACGACTTTTATTTGGGTTTTCCCTAAGAAATAAAGAGAATCTGATGTTTTACAATTGATTTTGTTTTAAAATTCGCTATTTTTAACTCTTTTAAAAAATTAAATTTTTTGTTAAAATCTCCCTTTGCATTTTTCACAAATTTCGTCAAAAATTGTATTTCCATATTATTGCTCTAGAAGCATGCACTTGATGCGCGGGTTTTAAAATTGAAGTCTATTTATAAAAAATCTCAATACTTAACTCTCTATCTGTTGTGAAAATTGCGTCTTTCTTCCATTTTTATACACTTCTGAAGAGCAACTTCACCACAAGGGCTTCAAAATTGGAAATGTTCATTAAAATTCTTAAATCTAAAAGTTTATTCCGGCTACCTTCCATATACATTCTCTCTTTAACTGTCTTTCTATTCTGAATGAGAGAAATCTGTCTTTTCTGAGCTTTCCATGCGATATAACATTTTTCATCAAGTTGTAACGACTTTTATTTGGATTTTTTCTAAGAAATAAAGAGAATCAGGTGTTTTACAATTAATTTTGCTCTAAAATACGCTTTTTTTAACTCTTTTAAAAAATTAATTTTTCGTCAAAATCTCAAAGGCTTTGCATTTTTCACAAATTTCGTCAAAAATTGTATTTCCATATTATTGCTTTAGAAGCATGCACTTGGTGCGCGCCTTTCAAAATGGAAGTCTTTTCATCAAAACTCGCAATACTTAACTCTCTATCTGTTGTGAAATTTGCGCCTTTCTTCCATTTTTCTACTCTTTTGAAGAAAACAAACTTACGACAAGAGCTTCAAAGTTGGAAATGTTCATAAACATTATGAAATCTAAAAGTTTATTACGGCTACCTTCCATAGCCATTCTCTTTTTAACTGTCTTTCTATTGTGAATGTGAGAAATTTGCCTTTATGTAACGATATAACATTTTCATCAAGTTTTCTTGGAGTTTTTCTAAGAAATAAAGAGAATCGGGTGTTTTACAGTAAAATTCTATTAAAGTTCTATTCCTGCGATTTTTGTCTTCGTCTTTCATGACTTAGACACTTGTGTTTGATTTGCCCTCTATCGGTGTTCATTTGTTTTGGTAGCAAAATACGTGTATTTTTTATATGAATGTTTTCAGGGAGAAAGATGAAGTTAAGTTAATGTCCATTGTGATAAAATTACAACTATAAGTTACTACCCTAAAAAAATAGAGTATTAAAAGTGAGTTGTATATTTCATTCTTTGAATAATCAAAAAAGTTGGTATAGTAAATAGTTGAGGAATAAAATTGTTATTGAGATTTTTTTATTTTCGACTTAAATTTAAAATTGTCACAAACGGCAAGACGTTCTTTTACTGAGTGAGTTGTAGTTGTAGGAAGTAGATTACTTTTAATATGCTTAAACTAATCAATTTGAAACTTATCAAACATTTGTACAGTTAAAACTATAAGTATAATTTAAATTATATACTGAGTGTATTTACAGCTATGAAACTAATATTATTACTGTTTGTGTTAGTACTAGTACTAGTAGTTCTAACTTATAGCCCTAAACTTAAAATTATATAGGGTTAGACTACTGTTTAATTGTAACTCCTGACATCTTTTGATCTATGAATATACTAAATGATCCCTAACATTTTTCATTATTGAATAGCACATATACAAGTTACAGAAAATTTCGAGAGTACCCAAACGAAGCTTTGGTAACAATTAAGAAAATCATTCAAAATAAATATTTTTATTCCAGGAAGTTTTGATTGTGTATTTATAATGCTAGAAATAACTGCAGATAATAAAACTTTTATAGTTGTTGAGGAGAATAATTGTGAATCATTAAAGTTTTCCATCCCCCAAAAAATGGAGGAGGACCATGTCTGTAGCATGAGCAAGGTCATAGTAGTCTGTTCAGTGCTTCAGTCATTAATGTCAATCTATATTAATACAATAAGCAACCAAACATTAAGTGTATCCTGTCATATTCATTGCATGCCTTATCTTGTAAACTATAAATGAGCTAATATGCTGAAATGTGAGCAATAAAAAAAAAGCCTCGCAATTAATTAATGACGAAGTTGGCCAATACTTTACCTTATGGCAGTGGCCCTGAAAGTGTGGTCTAAAGGTTCAAAATGCAAGTCACTGGTGAGTTTTTTTTGTTTTGTAGTGGCAGGTGGAATGGGATCTGTAGGTGGTCTGTGGACAAAATAGTTTGAGAACTACTGCCTTATGTGTTTGATTTGATACCTCTGCTGCTTATTTTATAAATAGTTCGATAGTTGTTGTTTTTTTTAACAGTAAAATTTCAATATTTACTGGTGAATCTAAATTATTTGGAATAACTAATTTCATTGAGAACATTTATTTTTCTAACTGGACCTTGATGATCTTAGTAACTGAGCAGAAATGTTAAGATGCTCTTCACATGGCTCAGCAAGAAGTCTGAAGGCTTATTATACTAGAAACCAAGTTTTGAAACTTGTGGTGGGTGCATCACAGATAGCCCTTTATGTTGCTATGTTAAGATATATAAAAACATTCATAAGTTATTTCACAAGAGTGTCACTAATAAGTTGAATGTTTGCACAATTAACCATAAAGTTTAGAAGTAATTTAGTGGTAGAATAAAAATATATACAATAAATTTTGATTGAATTAAAGTTTTTAAAGGTCTTTGGTATTTCTAACTGTAGTGAGGATGTTTATGTGTTACAAAATGACTTGAATCAATTACCAAGTTGTACAAAAATAGCAAATAACCTTAAATTATAATCATTGTAATTGTAACCCACTTGTGTTGTTATAACTTGGGTTGCAAGTTTCAAATATATGGGAAATAAAACCTTACTAGCTTGACTGAAGAAAAAAATTATATAGTTTTTAATAAATCATTCAACCCATCCAAGCAATTATTTGGTATGTTCACGCGCATTGATTACAGATCCAAAGAAGTAGATCTCTCTCTCTCTGCATAAACCACTAGTTATGCATCACAAATTTTCTTTAATTTGGCCTCCTTATCTAAGAAAGGATATTGACTTCATGGATGGGGTTCAGAGGAGAGCTTTTAGGATTATTCCAGGGATGGGTTATTTTGCGTGTGTATATCAAGATCTCATTTTATTTTGAGAAGAGAAATTGAAACTTACAAGATTGTCCAGGAAGTTAACAGGATAAAGGCCTTTGATTTCTTTTATTCTGTATTCTGAAGATGATATGCTCCAGTTAAGATAGTTCTATTTTTAATAGGGTAATTGACTTATGGAAAGAGTGGTGATTGTCAGTAATGAAGACCATTATTTTACAGGAGATTAAATTTTATAAAAAGTAAATTGTGGGTTTAATTATTATTTTTTCTTTCCCAAGGGAAGGTGTGGAAAGACAGCCTTGAAGGACCAAACTGTCCCTTGTTGTCCATAGGTTTATGTTATGTACCAAGTCTCTTATAACATATAATTCACATAAAAACATTAAACAAAAATATTATAAGTATTGCAATTAATCTAACAAATTTCTTGTGTAATAAGTTACAACCAACATTTCATCTTTGTCCTAGTACAGAAGAAATTTTATCGGCTGAATTTTCAAGAAGGAACAAATATTATCTGTTTAATTTTAACTAGAATCTCTGATTCAAAACGTTTTTTTTTTTTTTTAAGTTGTGTATCATTATAGTTCTTAGAAAGTTATCTTCATAGAATAATAACAGTTTGTTCTTATTTCAACAAGGGGGGCTTCACATGAAGAGGCACGTGCAGAGATGTTGATGTACTTGCCGATTCCACAGTACAAGTACACGGTCTACAATTAATTGTATAAATCAAAAAAAGTAAAAGGAATTATTTCAGTATATGTGTGTGAATAATATGTTAATAGTAAGCCTTGATGAACAGACTGAAAAATGTGACGTGAACACTGATCGTCTATCATGTTTAGTAATGTTATAAAAAGCAGTTAGTGAAGGTAAAATAATAATTCTTTTCGTACATCACCACTGGAGTGAAACAATGAACCATGAAATTAGTAATGGTGATTTAAAAGAGCTAGAAAATGAATCTGTCAAAGGTAAAGCTGGAAATCACTCTGCAAGTGTTACATGTACATCTACAACAGTTTGTAAAAGTGTGAAAAAGAATAATAATGCAATTGAACATAAAGATGGAGATAAAATAGATAATCAAAATGATGTGAATAAAGCAATAGATTTATTGAGAGATGAAGCTGGATCAGTTGATCAAATGAAGGAACTTCATTCCTGTGCGGGTAATAATTTGGAAGAGTCTAATGATGATAAGGAAGAAGATAGAAATCAGAGTAGTCAGGTCAAAATAGACAATCAAAAGCAGAAGACGGAAGTAACCAAGATCCAGACACATAAGGAACCAAGAATCGTTGATCCTGAAGAGTTGGACCATAACACGTATGTGGATGTCAGTAGAGAAGAGGGAATAACTGAAGACAGTACCGAAGATGAGACGGGTGCACCGAACAACCTGGTGGGAGATGGAAGAAAACTGAATGATGTGGTGGAAAGAAGAAGTTGTTCTGTAGGTGAAAACAACAACACGTCTGATGAAATTAATCTTGATTCTGTGATACAAGATGGTAATTTGTCTCGTGAGATTACAAATGTCCAAACCAGTGAAGTTGCGGATACTGACCATCGCTATGACCCTACTCCAAAAGGACCAAGACCGAGGCACACATGGTTCATGTGTCAAGAAGTCGCAAAGAGACAGTTTGGTGTTTCTAATCATCAACCTAGTTGTATATTTGAATTGCACTGCAGTGGGAGCCTGCATACAGTGGAACGTTTGGAACTGATGTATAGAATGAAGAGTCACGATGGTTGTGTTAACAGTCTTCATTTCAACTCCACTGGAACCAGGTTAGCTAGTGGTTCCGATGACCACCATGTTGTAATATGGGATTGGACGGTCCCTAAACCTGTTCTTATTTACCACAGTGGACACAGAAGTAATGTATTCCAGGTAAGTCGACTTCTAAATAATATGTGAACGTGTTTTATGCTGAGCTGATTACTGTAACATTGTTTTATAACTTGATAAATGAGAAATACTCAAAAACAAAAACAGTTCTACTAGACTGTTATTTTAAAATAAGAGCACATATGTCACAACACAAAAATACTACACCCACGTAATGTTTCTATCATCATCAGAATTATGAATCTTGGCGGAAAAAAAACCATTAAGTCCAGTTCAATTTTCCACTTATCGCTTTCTTAGACTAGTGTTCAAGATTTCTGCTTATTAAAAGTAACCCTGGATGAGCCTAAATTGAAAAACAAAACTAGCTGGCCCTCTTGTAATGGTAGTCTGTATATTGAGTTTTTTTTTTTTTATACTCACCACAGTGATTTCTTGCAAGGCAACTGAATAATGTCTAGCATTAATGCTATTAATCTATTCTTCCGGATTATTCATCGGACACACTGTTTAAGATGCTCTTTGATTATCAGAATTACATCTTTTCTGGGCTTATAATTTTCCCTTTTCCTTCAAAACTAAGACAAATTAACCTTCAAGACATTCTTAAGTGCTTAAAGAACCCCATTTAATTTCGTTTCTCATTTTAATGAGTGCTGGTAAAGCAGCAGAGAATGGCTTGAAGACATGAATTCTTTTTACTTAACATAAACATTTATTTAGCTCTAGATCTTGATTACTTTTAAGCCAAACTTTCTTTATTCTGAGGTGTAAACTTCTGTACGTTTTTACTTTCCTTCACAGGTGATTATGAAGGTTGGCTTGCTCTTGTTTTCTACATAACTTATTCTACAAGTATATAATTGTTTAATAAACTTGTGTAAAACATCTCACTCATATTTTAGTGTGGCTATTAGCAACCGATTATTTGTGGTGTAATTCTGCTCTTTAAACACATTGTCACTGATTGAACACAAAAAAATCATTCTGGAATTGCTTGTTGGATATTTGAACTTACCTGTACTTCTATTTTGTACAATGTAAAAGTTTAGGGTGAAATTAATAATTATAAGGTTAAAAAGTATTTGAAGTTCTTGACATTAGTACAAACATGTTATTAAATCTGTGCACAATTTGTTAGTGTTTCTAACTCAAGCTCCTTGAAGAAACTCAAATATGTGCACTCAGTGTGTGTGGTAAAGTTATATATATATATAGTTCAGTAATCTCTGGTGGAAAAAAAAAATCATTACTTGTTTACTTAGTATATTAACAGTTAAATAATTTCTCTAACATTATATCAGGCTAAGTTCATGCCATTGCATGGAGACACGTACATGGTCAGTAGCGCCCGTGATGGACAAGTGCGACTTGCTGAACTTTCTGTTACAGGAATATGTAAGGGAACTAGGAAGCTAGCACAGCATAAAGGGGCTGCTCACAAGGTAAAGTGTTTTTGTTTTACATTATTTGAAGCCATTTGTGTGAATTGTATAACAGTGAAATAGTCAGAGCATGCTTCTACACAGGTGTGTGTTCTTTTCACAAATCTATTATCTTGTCTATGAAATCAGTGTTTCAAGAAGAGCTTTTGCTTTTATATGGTGAAAGTAGTGAACAAGATTGTCAGCTTTATGTACACATTTTTTTTTATAGATAATTTATACAAAATGAATTTTTTTTTTTT